CTTTATGTTTAGTACCACTCTTAGGCCACTTTCATAAGGACCTGATAACATCAATTTCTGAGTTCTTCATGAGTTCTGGAACAAAATGGAAATCAAGTTGCTTATTGGTTTTCTACATTGTTGAGTAGGGGCTCAGCTTTCTTGTATCTATCTAAATTAGTGATGGCATATCTATTTGCTTTCCAGCATCTTCAGTGTTGCTGTTATTGTTTCCTCTTTTTCTGTCTTTGACTTTGTGGGTTTTTTTTTTTTCCTTTAAAAAATCTCTTTACTGTCACTTTTAGGGTTCCAGGAAGGAGTGAGCCTATATGTTTGTGTTCAATCTGCCATTACCATCTTTTACTGGAAGTATTCTTAGTAACAGTTTCTTTGTATAATATATTGAGAACATCTTTCAGTATGATTAAATTTTTCTACTACACTTTTTTAAATAGCTGCATCATGTTCTATTGTGGGAATATATGATCATTTATTTAATAACTTACTTTTGGGTCATTTCCAATTTTTTTTAGTTTTACAAGCAATGCTGTGATGAACATCTGTGTAGAAAAGTTTGTACCTGCCCATAAGTATTTCACTAAAACAAATTCCTAGAACTGGTATTATTTAATCAAGAAGTACACACATATATCAAGACTTCTGATATTTATTGATAACCCAGAAGAGAGGCTTTATTGATTTCATGTCTACTGGCTGTTTATGAAAATGATCTTTTCCTCACACACTCATCAACATTAGGCATTATCATTTTAAAAATTCCCTTATACTTTTATTTTTTATTTTGTCAGATCAGAAGTGAACTCAACACAACTGGTTCTGTTCTAATGTAGTCATTAGAAAGAATGGATTAAAATCCATTATTCTAAAACTGAATAAATTATATTTGGCAGAAATTTTGAAATTTTAATCAATTTATATTAAAAAATAAAACCCTCCAAATAGCAAATCATTTTCTCTGGTTGTTCAGAAATATGTATTTCTACCGACTCTTCTAGCAATTTCAATAGAGACCTTTCTTACTCAATTAGATATTCAGTGAGGAAAAGTTAAATTTACTTCTTATGGGATTGGTGGAAATTTTATAAATCCTACTTAGACAACTGTCTCTTATACTCACTGTAGAACAAAATTTTAAGGGACTTGATCAATCATTTGTTCATGTCAGGAGCAGACCTGGGACTCTTATTTCTATATCTTTTTAATTTGAGGGAAATATCCTAGCCTTGCCTGAAGGTATTCCTTTGGCCATAGCAGAAAAAATGGAAAGAACCATTTATTCAGGTGTGAGCCATGCTCCTCAATTTCATCCAGTTTGCTGCTTCACAATTTCATCCAGTAATGTTAGCCTTGCATGTGCATTAAGTCATTTCAGTCATGTCCAACTCTTTGTGACTCTATGGACACCACCTGGCTCCTCTGTTCAGGGCATTCTCCAGGCAGGAATACTGTGGGTTGCCATGCCCTCCTCCCAGGGATCTTCCTGACCCAGGGATCGAATCAGCATTTTTTATGTCTCTTGAGTTGACAGGCAAGTTCTTTACCACTAGCACCACCTGGGAAGCCCAATGTTAGTTTTATTGGCTGTTTATTTGGTCTTTAAAGAGTATGGAGCTGTTCTTAATAGCATTAGAGAATGTCTATGAACAAAGTTAATTCTTTCCTGTTCACATTTATTAAAATCCTAGAGACAACTAGCAATTATGAAAGATTGTTTGAATGACAGGCAATTCATCCATCCCAAGTGAGCTGTGACTTTCAAATACCTTTTTAATTGCTGAAGCCTTTCTTTACATGAAATTTTAAATCTTACTTGCTTGACTTCCCCTCACTTCTGATAAGGTGAGCAATTTCCATCAGATGGAAATGCCAAGAACATTTTGCTAGCCCTCTGAAAGAGGCATGTAATTGAGTGTCTCCCTCTTATGACTGTCAAAATGTTTGGAGACAAATTTTGTAACTATGTTTCCTTCCCAACTTTTCTTCTGGTATAATGCATCTGTTTACTTTTTCTATGTTATTAAAGTGAAAGTGAAGTCGCTCAGTCGTGTCCCACTCTTTGTGACCCCATGGACTGTAGCCTACCATGCTCCTCCATCCATGGGATTTTCCAGGCAAGAATACTGGAGTGGGTTACCATTTCCTTCTCCAGAGGATCTTCTCGACCCAGGGATCGAACCCAGGTCTCCAGGATTGTAGGCAGACACTTTACCATCTGAGCCACCATAAGCTTATATTCATATTATCTCTTACTAAATATGTTTTGTCAGCTGCTAATTCACTGAAAAACATGTTGAGAAACAAAGGAAAATGATATTTTTAAATACTGTCATGGAAATGGGGAGCCCTCAAAGATTTCTAAAAGAATGATTTAATTATGTTTGTAGGGTAGTAAGATAACACAGAAGCTTTGTCAGAATAATTTAAAGGGGATTTCAGATTGGAAACAAAATGGCAGACTAAGGACATTATAAAGGCTCTTGAACTTCAGGGGTTCACAGCCAAGAAAGGGAATAAAGCCGTGTATATCAGACAGGTTAGTTACAAAAGCAGAAACCATTCTTAGGGATTTTAATGAAAAAACTTGTTTACAAAGGCGTGTCACAAGCTGGGAAGCCAAACATGAAATTGTGAAGTAACCCAGAGTTGTGCAACAAAAAGTGCTAGCATTTCTCTGAAGAGAAAGAGAGAGGAAGGAGGTGATGTGACAAGGCCCCAGGTGGGGCAGTTTGGCTGGAGCTGCATCCGTGGTGAGGACGGTCTGGAAGGTGCTGAGTCGTGGAGGAGAAAGATGTCTGATGGATGTGACCACAGAGAAGATGCAGCTGCTGCTGTGGGCCCACCACCACCCCCTGAGGCAGACAGGCGAGGGAGAAATACCCTGGCTTCTCCCTTCCTCCCATGCTCCAGCCTTTCACAACTTCCCACTGGCTGAGCCTACCTGGAGGCCAACGGACAAGAGAGGAAGGCAATGTAGTACCCTAGTAGGCAGGACAGAACAGGAGAAGGACAGAGCATGGGCCTGAGCCTCAAGCATGCAAAAGACTGCATGTTTGCATGCAAAGGGATGAGGTTGTATTGAATACAATAAAATAACGGTGAACAATTTATGATGGAGCCAGAGAGAAAGATCAATTTCTACTCAGGTTAGAGTGCAGCTGATAAAGACCCACAGGGAACAATGTTTTGCAGATGAATGAGGGCTGATTTGGGAACAAAGAGAGCAGATTCAATTATAAATATAGCTGCCACTAAATTTTAAGGGGTTTGGTTGTCTTACCAGAATTTTAAAGAAGACTAAGAGCATAAATCCTTAGATTTTCAAAGACATTTTAAAGTCTTCTATCAATTTATACATGTAGAAAAAACATACAGAAGTTATTTTTTGAAAATGGATGAAGATTTGTTAATATTCAAAAGAAAAATGGCCTATGAAATTGACTTTTAAGGGCTTCAAAGAGAAGGACCTTGAGGTTTACTGTGTGACATTCAGCTCAATTTCAAGACAGTTGAGTTCTGCCATTGTATTGAGACACTGGGAAGAACTTTTAGTCTTCCTGTTGCTTACAAAACAATTGAGCAACGTATGGGTGCATTTTAAATGCCCAGAATTGCCACAAAGAACATGAGACTAAACTCACTGTTAATGCCAGACCTCAGACTATATACCATGATTCCAGCTCAGAAACTATTATATGATTCTAATATCATAGTCATATCTATCCCCATACATAAATACCACCTTCTTTCCCCTTGAATTTGATCAAGCCACCTTTGGCTGCTAATATATGCCTCATTGGCTTCTTTGTTTAGGTGTATTTTTCATTTCATTTGATTTATTCCCTGATAGCTCAGTTGGCAAAGAATCTGCCTGCAATGCAGGAGACCCCGGTTCGATTCCTGGGTCGGGAAGATCGCTAGAGAAGGGATAAGCTACCCGTCCCAGTGTTCTTTGGCTTCCCTTGTGGCTCAGCTGGTAAAGAATCCGCCTGCAATGTGGGAGACCTGGATTTGATCCCCGGGTTGGGAAGATCCCTTGGAGAAGGGAAAGGCTACCCACTCCAGTACTCTGGCCTGTAGAATTCCATGGACTGTACAGTCTGTGGGGTTGCAGAGTCACACGACTGAGTGACTTTCACTTCACTTCACATTTAATTGTTTATTTATTTGGCTACACTGGGTCTTAGTTGTGGCACATGGGATCTTTGATTTCATCTTTCTTGGTGCATGTGGTACTTTTTTTTTTTTTTTTGGTTGCTGTATGTGGAAATCTAGGGATTGACCAGGGGTCAAACACATGTCCCCTATGCTGGAGTTTTTAAATTCTGGAATATAGTTATCTAATTTCCAAAATCAGATAATCATGCACAAAATTAGTATTTTTTGACTATTTATTTATGCTGAGTGAACCCATCATGGATATGATTCTATTGAACACCTGAGTAAAATTCTTTATGTGTTTCTATATCTATGCAGGGACTAACTGCCCTGACTTTTGGGGTCTTAAGGAACATATTATTCTCTTTTTCCCCTCCTATTTTGCCCTACATAACCATAGGCTATTTAAGAGCTCAACATTTAATTTTGCAGACCAGATTTTCTAGAATGTTTAAGGATTCCATTTATCTCTGGGTTTTTTACATTAGATACTTAATTGTAAGATGTCTAGGCAATTGATCTATGATAAAGCCATCATTTTGATATTGTGTAAAATCCTAAAAGTTTAGTATCTGGTTAACACAAGGATGTTCTAGAAGACTCATTTGGTGAGGCCTATTCTATGGCTTCCCTGGTGGCTCAGTGGTAAAAAACCTGCTTGCCGATGCAAGAGACGTGGGTTCCATCCCTGGGTCAGGAAGATCCCCTGGAGAAGGAAATGACGACCCGCTCCAGTATCCTGCCTGGGAAATCCCATGGACAGTAGAACCTGGTGGGCTACAGTCCATGAGGTCACAAAAGAGTTGGACACAACTTAGTGACTAAACAACAACAGCAGCAGCAATTCTAGCTCCAACTTGGGGTTAGTAACTATGGAAAATCACTGGGGCCCTCAGTTAAATGCCATTGTGTACAAAGTAAGAGCCTTAGACCTTTTCAATCTCCAGGGAAACTTCTACCTGATAGTGTTTCTATCTTTACATGTGAGGGAAGAAAATGTAACTTCTTTTTTCTGATATTTTATTATTGAAATATCAACAGTGCTTTAAAGCAGGGATTCCTGACCTCCAGGATCTAATGCCTGATGATCTGTGGTAGAGCTAATGTAATAATAATAGAGATAAAGTGCACAATAAATGTAATCAGCATAAAACTACCCCCCCCCACCCGAAGTTTGGGGACCGCTGCTAGATCATTCCCTGTTTTCCTGTCACAGTTTACATAGATTGCCCTGGAATATAACCTGCCTTTGTGCTTTAGCCACTCTGAGTATGACTACTCTTTGTATATCTAAAAATCTCATTTGACATGAAATTATAACATATTGAAGAATAGTCTTTTATCTTAAAGCCAGAAGAAAAACTTTTTATGGTATTCAGATTCTGAATACCAGCTGGTTTGACTTCTTAAGTCTTCAATTAGAAATTTGATTGGTGTGAATCACAGGGGTGATAGTAGGATAGAATGAATCTAATTTCATCATGTGGCTCAGATCTCTCTCCAGGTGGGTCTAATTCACTACACAGGCTCAAGATGAGCCAGCTGCTCAACTTTGCCTGGTGATCAACAGGAGAATGAAACTGTTCTTGAAGGCATTCAGTGCTTCTGTGGGCTCCGAGTTCTCTGTCTCTTTTCTCTCTCAATCTCTCTGCTTCTCTTCCTTCCCTCTTTAATGGAATGCCTATATAAATTCTGGTTAAGATGGACTTTTAGCAAGGATTCCAAATTTTATTAATATTGTAAAAAGATTAAAGTGTAGCATGGTGATGCTATTCTTTGCTGGGTATAAGAGAACATCTTACAGACTTTAAAGTGTTAATACAGCTTTCAAAACAGAATGGAGGAACCAGGCCTGAGGCCAAGTCACCCTGACCCCTCTTCCCAGAAGAAACCCAAACTGGGATCTCAGGATTTCTCTAAGGGCAGCGTGAGCGTCCTGGATGAACAACACCTGTGCGCCCTGGCATTTGACCCCCACCTCCGGTCTAGTCCATAAAAGTTCTGGCTCACACCACGTTTGGATCAAGCCCCACCCCTCCTGAAAGACTCCTTTCTCTCCCAGCTCAGAGGAGCGGTGGAGTGGCCCCAGAATCCATCTGAGAGTCTGAAGGGTTAATTGCAGCAACGTGGGCTTCTGGAGCTGAATTTGAGGCTCCAATCTGACATCTGTCAAGGTATGAACACAATTTTTTTTTTCCTAGTATCTCACAAAAGTTCCAGATGTACTATGGTTTGTACAATATCGCAGTAATGGATTTACCCTTCAGGCTTTTCATGAGGGTTACCTTCTGAAAGGGCTGAGAAATATCTTTTCTTAAAGAGCATTATACTCTTCTTGCTTTGTTTTCCGCTTTGTCATTATCATGTCTTCGGGATGTTCTCAAGCATTCTGTGAACTTGGGTCTCACAAGGCAAATTGATTTATACTTCAGGCTATGCTTAGTTATCGCTAGGTCCTGTTTTCATCTCATAGAAACTTGTAGGTATCACTCATCTGCCTAAGGTCCCTCTCGTTGTCTTTGTTGATTTATACTCTCGTGTTTCAATTATTTGGCAGAACTTTTTATTTTAATATTTTTTTATCACTGGCTTTTTAAAAAAGTTTGTGGTAGAATACATATAACATAAAAATTACTATCTTAACCATTTTTTAAGTTCACTGGTATTAAATATACTCACAATATCCTTCACTTTCTTTTCACCCCATCACTCCCTGAACAGGTTTTGGAAGAGAGGCTGGAGGATGGTGGGGTTGTATGGCAGAAGTGGAGGAAAAATAGGAAGGATTTTATCTCTTCTGTTATTTATAAGAAAAAAAAAGTTGTATGGTAGCAATGTCCTTGTTGCTATTGCTGGGGTGTGTGTGTGTAAGTCGGTCAGTTGTGTCAGATTCTTTGTGACTCTATGGACTATACAGTCCATGGAATTCTCCAGGCCAGATTCTGGAGTGGGTAGCCTTTCCCTTCTCTAGAGGATCTCTCCAACTCAGGGATTGAACCCAGGTCTCCTGCATTGCAGGCAGATCCTTTACCAACTGAGCCACAAGGGTCTGATTTTATATCTTTAAGCATATTAAAAAGCAAATGAGATGAATTATCATGCTAATATTGTTGTCAAAGTTTAAATACCTATATATTCTCTATGACTGCAGTGAAGGGTTTTTAAGGAGGGGGAGAACTAAGCTTAATAATCTTTTTTTCAATCCGAAGACTTCTTTCAGCTGTACCTTTTAGAGCTGAACTTCTGGTATTTGACTTACTGTACCGGTAGCCATGACTTTAGCAGCTGAGTTGAGTGAGTCCAAAGGCTACTTTATAAAGAGTCTCCTTTCCTGGGAACATTCTGAAGTGGATAGGGCATCTACATTAGAACAGAGAAGCTAAATTCCTTGTTCTGGGCTCGAGCCCTTAGCTTTAGCACCCACCATACTGTGAAGGAACATTAAGATAACCCAAGAATATTAGGGGAAACAAGAGGGCTCTGAAAAACATCCAAATTAATCTTTAAAATGTGTTATATGACTAAGAAACATTTTAGGCTTGAGCTCAGCACAGCATTTCAAAACCTAAGCTCAATGAGCTATAATAAGGGCTAATCATAAAATTCTTAACTGTAACAGCCTTTAATTACTGCAGGATATAGCAATGTTTTGTAAGGTGAACAGCAGTGAGATGCTATACCACTGTCTTTTCAAACAGTAGAACTGCCTTCAGCACCCTAAAAAATAATCACACTTCAAAGTGCTCCCTAGGATTGACCCCAAATGAGGAGGGGGGGGGGGAATGGAGAAAGTAAAATCAGATAAAGACAGAAAGTTTCATCTTCTGTGGTTTTTTAAAAAAATTTCAATTTATTGACATGATAATTACAATTGAAGTTACAGCTGAATTCCATTATTTCAGATCTGGGGAATGAAAATTCATAGGCTTTTCAAACAGTAGAACTGCCTTCAGCACCCTAAAAAATAATCACACTTCAAAGTGCTCCCTAGGATTGACCCCCAAATGAGGGGGGGGGGGAATGGAGAAAATAAAATCAGATAAAGACAGAAAGTTTCATCTTCTGTGGTTTTTTAAAAAAATTTCAATTTATTGACATGATAATTACAATTGAAGTTACAGCTGAATTCCATTATTTCAGATCTGGGGAATGAAAATTCATAGGCTTATTCATGTTAAAACTGAGAGTAATTTGTTCAAAATATCCTGGTGGGAAGAAAATTGCCTTATGTCTTTGAGGGGTCATAATAGTTTTCACAGTGTCTACAATGAACCCAATGCAGGACATAACAGATAATTGAAAACAAAAGCTGAATATATTAAGTCTGTTGGTATAAAGGTTAAAGCAGTGGAATGAAGTATTCAGGTTAAGTGATGCTATTAATGCCGTGTCTTCACAGGTGGTATGTCTAGCACATTAATACTTAATATGGCTCTTATGCTTTTCTCATAAAGTTTCCACACTTGCTTGTAATTTGAACATTTTTTAGAAGATAGGTTTTTTTTTAAACAATGAACATTTTTTCTAAAGGCCTTTTAACTGTAGGTTAATCAACCAATTGTGTCATGATCAAAGAGAACTAAAACTAACCTGAGGGATAAATCATTATTGTTGGCAAACACATGAGTATACAGTCCTAACCTGTAAAATAAAAGCACATCATTTTCAAATGTGTCAATATCTGTATAATACATAGGCTCATGAAAGCAACCATATCAAACTCAAAAATGGTTATTAAGGCTCTATCTTTTTCCAAAACATTGAATGTTTACTTTTCAGATATAAAGAAAAGAGTATGTTCCTTCATTTTCTTTGATTTCAGTCTTTTCCCTCTCTTTGTGTTCTGTGTTTGCCAACAATACTTTTGTTTACTCTTTGCTCCTATTACCCCTTTTCTCTCTTTCTTTCTTCACTCTCTCCTGCTCTCTACACATTTTACCATGCAGCCTTCTTCTAAAGAAGAGAAAGACAATCATCAAATTATGTAAAGTTTATTCAAAGTGTTAATGAGAGTTCAGAGTCTTCAGTATTGTACACATCAGAGCCAATGAGAAGGCACCAATCTTCAAATGTCTTCATTCCTACTCTGATATATCTCGTGGAGCCCACAAATATCATTGAATAGATTGATATTATTTTATCAGGCTTAGCCTTCCAAATAGACTCTCATTCCAGACTTTATTCCCCCCGTCAACTTGTGTATGGCCATGAAGAATTTTCAGGCACAAAAATTGAGTGTATTCTCAGAAATATTTAATGAGTCTCCATCAACCACAATAGGGCCACCGCCCTTGGTGTATTAGGCTCAACACTGTATGAGGTCTGTCAACAGACCTGCTTCTTCCACTCGCTGCATTCTAGCCCTCCACTCTCTCTGGTTACTCTTGCTTTATCCCCTCCTTGCTATCTCATTCTTCCCTCCACTTATCCAGACTGAGAGTAAATCACAACTTTTTTTCTGGGCTCCCACTTCAGTTTGTAAGTACCCACATATTAGCATGCATTTTAATTCCAAGGGCACTTTCACAGAAGATATGGGATTCTAAACTCTTTGAGGGCAGAACAGGAATTTGAATTCAGATCTCCTTAACTTGAAAAGCCACTGTGTTTTGTGTCATATTGAATTTGAGGAATTGATAGCAAATGGAGAAGATCAAAGAGAACTAAAACTAACCTGAGGGATAAATCATTATTGTTGGCAAACACATGAGTATACAGTCCTAACCTGTAAAATAAAAGCACATCATTTTCAAATGTGTCAATATCTGTATAATACATAGGCTCATGAAAGCAACCATATCAAACTCAAAAATGGTTATTAAGGCTCTATCTTTTTCCAAAACATTGAATGTTTACTTTTCAGATATAAAGAAAAGAGTATGTTCCTTCATTTTCTTTGATTTCAGTCTTTTCCCTCTCTTTGTGTTCTGTGTTTGCCAACAATACTTTTGTTTACTCTTTGCTCCTATTACCCCTTTTCTCTCTTTCTTTCTTCACTCTCTCCTGCTCTCTACACATTTTACCATGCAGCCTTCTTCTAAAGAAGAGAAAGACAATCATCAAATTATGTAAAGTTTATTCAAAGTGTTAATGAGAGTTCAGAGTCTTCAGTATTGTACACATCAGAGCCAATGAGAAGGCACCAATCTTCAAATGTCTTCATTCCTACTCTGATATATCTCGTGGAGCCCACAAATATCATTGAATAGATTGATATTATTTTATCAGGCTTAGCCTTCCAAATAGACTCTCATTCCAGACTTTATTCCCCCCGTCAACTTGTGTATGGCCATGAAGAATTTTCAGGCACAAAAATTGAGTGTATTCTCAGAAATATTTAATGAGTCTCCATCAACCACAATAGGGCCACCGCCCTTGGTGTATTAGGCTCAACACTGTATGAGGTCTGTCAACAGACCTGCTTCTTCCACTCGCTGCATTCTAGCCCTCCACTCTCTCTGGTTACTCTTGCTTTATCCCCTCCTTGCTATCTCATTCTTCCCTCCACTTATCCAGACTGAGAGTAAATCACAACTTTTTTTCTGGGCTCCCACTTCATTTTGTAAGTACCCACATATTAGCATGCGTTTTAATTCCAAGGGCACTTTCACAGAAGATATGGGATTCTAAACTCTTTGAGGGCAGAACAGGAATTTGAATTCAGATCTCCTTAACTTGAAAAGCCACTGTGTTTTGTGTCATATTGAATTTGAGGAATTGATAGCAAATGGAGAAGTTGAAGGTACAACTAAGATTTCAAATTTAAATAAGTGGGCAGATGGTGATTACTTGGATCAAAGGAAAGACTGTGGAAGAAGTAGCTTATGGGTGGCAACATTAAAAACCCATAGTGAAGGATGTGAATAAAAAGAGTGTGATGAGTGGCTCACTGAGAAATGCCAACATATAAGGGTTGAGGACTGGAGCTCAGAAGAAGGAAACAATGCAAGGATAGAAGCCAAGGTGGACAGATTTTTAAGGAGAAAAGAATTATCACTAGAAGATGCTTTAAGTCCATTAAATTTTGGGACTGAAGATAGACTGGTGATAAACAGAAAATCATTCCAAAGACATCTCAGTATCTAGGGTGGGGGTTAATCAAATTTCAGTAAATTCTAGAGTGAGATGAAGTTGACGTATAGTTGGAGTATATGTGTTACTAAGTTTGGACTTG